AAGCTGTTTACAGCCTCCGGCTTTGTTTGCGCACATTTAACACACAATTATATTGTGCAGCAGATGGAGATGGAGCCAGGTAATTTTCAGCTTTAAGTGCACTTCAGATCGCACAGTCGGCGGACGTAGCTGGGGTGTAGCGGGTGCCGGAGCACTGACTCACTGAGCATCACCCTTCGAGTATCACTCAACAAACACCTGAAGCCCTGAGCTGAGGGCAAACATATGTGTTAATTATTAGACAAACCTAACCCATAAACAGAGAGACGAAAAGCCCAGACACTGACAATACCCATTAGCTACCCAAGAGGTGCAATAATTGTCCAAGTTCTTCAGAGAAGCCATCATTATACAGCTACTCAAGGCAATAAAGATAAAGATACAACTTCTTTGTTTGACTAGCTTAAATGGTAGCTGATATAAGACAACGATTTTGTAACGTGTGCTAATATTAATAAAGTCTTTAGGCTTGAATGGAAGACTAAACTAAAACAACCACCTGAACTATAGCTTTGTAGGGTATAAGGGTTACGAGTTGCTTCTCGCTTGTCTGCAGACAGTCTTTCCTAAACTCCAAGTAGCATATGTATCTGTATCTGTATCTGTATCTGTATCTGTATCTGTATCTGTATCTGTATCTGTATCTGTATCTGTATCTGTATCTGTATCTGTATCTGTATCTGTATCTGTATCTGTATCTGTATCTATATCTGTATCTGTATCTGTATCTGTATCTGTATCTGTATCTGTATCTGTATCTGTATCTGTATCTGTATCTGTATCTGTACCTGTATCTGTATCTGTATCTGTATCTGTATCTGTATCTGTATCTGTATTTGTATCTGTATCTGTATCTGTATCTGTATCTGTATCCGTATCTGTATCTGTATCTGTATCTGTATCTGTATCTGTATCTGCATCTGCATCTGCATCTGTATCTGTATCTGTATCTGTATCTGTACCTGTATCTGTATCTGTATCTGTATCTGTATCCNTGCAGACAGTCTTTCCTAAACTCCAAGTAGCATATGTATCTGTATCTGTATCTGTATCTGTATCTGTATCTGTATCTGTATCTGTATCTGTATCTGTATCTGTATAATAATTATATTTTTTTTTATAATCATATATATACGTGCATGTAATATGTATGTATATACATACATGTATGTGAATATATTTTCTTCAGCAGAATTAACTCGTTTACTCGTGATAATGCTTTTGAAATATTGATGAGATCTGTTTATGGCCATTGCTCAACTTTCTCTGTTTGTAGTATATATACCCGTTCTGCTGAGCGCTCTATTGGGTATAGCTGAACAACATCAGTTAATTGCAGTTTTCAACACGCATTCAGTGCGAAGTGCCGCCTGCTGTCTCTATATTGCCCTCATCTCTCCCCACCACTCTACATCTCGCTTGCTCCCTCTCCCTCTCTCTCTCTATCTCGCTCTCAGTCTTTGTATACTGTTTATCGCTAGCTACATAGTAGACTGAGGAGCTGGCATCTTGTAGCTCGCCTCCGTCTCTATACATTGCTCGTATCTCTGCTCATCAGCGTCTGCTTCTTGTTCTTTTGCTCTGAACGTGCGAAAAGTCAAATGTGGCATCTTTGCATCTGAGCTGAGCTGAGCTGAGCTGAGCTGAGCACTTGATTAACGCGCTCAGTGAAGCTGGCCGAAGCGTTCCCGTTGACGAACTTTCAAAGTTCAATAGGCTATCGGGTACATAAGAATCTGACTGTGAATGCGAATGCGAATACATGATCTAATCGACGCAGAGGGCCGGCACTTTAAGGCAGCGAGACACGCGAATCTTTCCCCCATTCGCCATGGCTCAGCTGCATTCGGCTAATAACATTCCGGTTCACAGCCCAAATGCCCCATTTGTAGCATCACAGAACATGCATATATACACATATATTCGAGTGTTTGTGTATGTGTTTATGTATTCATATATGTTTTTGTATGGCACATATTATTTAATAGCACTTGGGAGCAAGACACATTCATATATAGTGCAATGGGACACGCTGCCGCTCATAAATTTTGATCGGGCTCTGATTGAAATTAATGGCATTTAGGATCTTCTGGTGTTGACACACGCCGCACTAAATGCAACCAACAGAATATCGCCTAGGAGTGGGCGCCTACTTTGCGTGTCTCCCCCATAGTTCATTCGTAAATATAGCTCTGTCGAAATTCGTTATTTATAGAGCTGAAGTTTTTGTAGCAATACGAACGGGTTTGGCACATTTATATAATATGTTGTTGACCATTTCATTATTAAGTCACTTCACTTCATTTGTTAAGTAAATCGCCTTTCAAATTGTCTCCCTCGCATTATTTATGAGCTATTTGTTTTTATTTGCGGCATAATCTTTTGTTTATGAGCTGGATGTGCTTGCTCCATATGACAATTCAATAGATTTTCAACTTTCCTTTAACATAAATAAACATGCAATTGTGCCCGATACGGAGCTGCATGTCAGCATATTCCGGCCGCATTTTTACTCTGATTTTATACCCTCGAAGAGGGTGTCAGGAATATGTAATAAGATATGTTGTGCAACAATAGAGTTGTATATGTCTACATGTTGGAGTCTATATTTTTATATCTATAAAAATGGTATCTAAATATCAGACTTTATTTATATCTGAAGGTGTGTACATATATATATATATGTGTTTTTGTATATGCTGCTTTCCAGCTGATACTCCAATTGTATCTATGCATATCGTATTTGTATCTGTATCTACATATGCAGATCCACATCTTATCTCTATTCATATTAGTATTCGTATCTGTATCTATATAAGACTCTCCCGCTGTATCTATTGCATGTTTATACTAATGTTTTTATATCTCTATGTCTATGAAACATATATCTTTAAAATTTTGCTTAGTTAGTTTTATGCCATTCATATATTTCATATCTCAACAATATAATCTGATAAAGTATGGCAAAAGAAACCTCTTAAGAAATTATCCACCTTTAGACTAAAGTAGAGATTAATTGTATATGACTCTATCTGAAATATGTTCATAATTTCTATAAAAAATGTTCAGCTACCTTTGCTATACTCCGCCACGCCCTTCATTTAAAGAGTATCCGTGCTGCGAGCCAAAGTGTCATTACATCTTAATCTCGCGTACAAACAAAATATTTTCATTTTTGGTATTTTTGGTATTCAGTGGCAGTGTCGATATCTCACATGATTCGAGTTCCGAGTGGCAACAGAGACTGGGAAGCCGCTGCAGAGCAGTGATAAAACTCCATTTACGCTTATCACTTGAATGCTATGATGATAGCGGCAACTGCAGCTTCAGCTTCTCATCTGCAAACACAAAGCCAACTGCCTAAAAAGAACAATAAAATATATAATATACACATATATAAATATATATATGTATACATATCTCTCTCTGGTGTCTGTCGACATTTTCTTGCATGCTCGTTGCTTTGGGGAGCCCCTATCTGAAGTCAAAGATACTTTTCTGGTTGGCATGCGTGATTGTTTCCGGTGCGCATGCGCAGTGTGCCATTGAAATTTCTTTCTGTCTGAGTGTGTGAGTGTGTGTATGTGTGCATGTGCACATGTACATACATGTGTGTGTGTGTGTGCGTGTGTGTGCGCATGTGCGCTTCGGTATGTCGCCTAGGTATGCATATGTCACTGTCACTCTTTTTTGGCTGGGCTCTGCCTGTATCGGGTGTCAGAAGGTCGTTCGCTCGACTTACATAATTGCTTTTGTCTACGCTTCGACATATTCGACTAAACAAAAATTAAATAAAAGTAAAAACTCGAACAAAACTGAAATTTTCTTTGAACTTGTAGAGTTGACAAACCAGAAAAGTGAATCTGTAAATTCTTGAATAATTTGACAGACAGTTGCGATCGCTTTTCACATCTTCATCTGATCTGTGGAAATTAGAAACATTTTCCACTTCTTTCATAATCTTCGCAGAAATGCAGGAATGCACGTCTAACAAATTCATTTGCATAGTTGCAAAAGTTAAGAGCACGAAAGTATTCGATTTCTTTAGACTCCTATGTATATATAGAGGGAATATTCACTGTACTTTGAAACTGTATTATCGAATGCTCCACAGATGCTGCTGGCAATTGCAAAAATGTGACACAAATTGAATATTCACTGTACTTAGGCAGCTAAGACAGGGAGAACAAATATCGATTGAATATTCACTGTATTTGGGATGAAGAAAGTTTAATATCATATATGATATATTCTTACATACCTACTGAATATTCACTGTACTTGGGAACTGAGGGATTGCTTTACAAGCTCAGACAGAGGGACTGAATTTTAATTGTTGCGATAGGATTATTCCATATTGGATATGCTATATATTAATGGAAGCTAAAACCTGTCTCTCTATCTTAGCTTCTTAGCTAGAGAAAACGAGAGAGACAAACTTTCAATTGTTGTACACATATTGAATATTCACTGTACTCAAAAGCTACGGCAGAGAGAGATAGAGAGAGGCAAAATTTCGACTGTTATGACAAGATTATCATATATTGAATATCCCATATATTATTAGAAGAGAGACAAAATGTCGATTGTTATGATCGTCTTATTATGCATTGAATATTCTATATACACATATCCTTAAAAGCTAAGACAGAGAGACAAACTTTCGATTGTTGTACATATATTGAATATTCACTGTACTCGAATGATCACATATTAAATATCGTATATTATATTAGAAGCTAAGACAGATAGATAGAAGTTCGTTTGTTGTGATATCATTATAATATCAGAATATCGTATCCTATAATGAGTATTCACTCCAATTAGGAGCTAAGACAGAGAGACCAAATCTCTATTGTTGCGATACAAATATTACATATTGTATATACTATGCATTATTAGAAGCGAATACCTCTATATACCATTGATTGAATATCACACCCTATATTGAGTATTCACTGGAATTAGAAGCTTAGGCAGATGGACAGAATTGGACTTACGAATTGTTCGCATAGTTGCTGCGAGTCTTGTGTAGCGCAATGCTGAAGCCGAACATCGAGCTGCTGGCGTGCCGATGTCGCACGTAGCTGGGCAGGTCGATGTTGTAGGCGTCCGTTGCTGGGTGTCGGCTGCAGTGCATCGTCAGCATGAGGAGCAGCACCAGTGCCTGGAGGCTACTCCATCTGCTGCTGATCATGATTTGGCCGTTGTTGTGATCCACGTCCTCGTCGTTGTTGCTGCTGCTGCTGCTGCTGCTGCTACTGCTGTTGTTGTTGTTGTTCTTGTTTGTCGTCTCTTGGCTGGCCTTAGCCTTAAGTTGTGAGTTTGGTTGTTGTTGTTGATTTTTTGCACATTTATTGCATTTTCGTTAATATTGTTATTGTTGGATCTGATTGTTGTGTAAACTATTTCAATAAACTCAACATTAAACGTTGCAAATCTCACATATGGTCAACACAAATTCACACACACACACRCGCTCGCACCCACATGCCAGCTAATACATATACAGATACATGCATACGTAGACAAGCTTTATTTATTTTATGATCTCAAGTTGTCGCTTGCAGGCAGCCTTGGCCGAAATTTGTTGAGAAAACGCTCAGCTCGGCGAAATTAAAAAGCAGCCGCCAGTGGCAAGAACTGAGAGAGAGAGAGAGAGAGAGAGAGAGGGAGAGACACACAAATTTTGTAAAAAATCAAGTTTTTTGAGCAGATTTTTTGGTTGTGTTTTTTGTTCAGTTATTTTGTGCGTTTGTTCGTAATCATCAAATTCTTGTTTATTTATGTGTTTAGTTTTTGATTCCTTCATTGGCGCTCTCTTCGCTTGTCACAGCAACAGTCGCTGCTGATGCTGCTGCTGCTGCTGCTGCTGACGTAACACACGGAGTAGAACAGGTTGCCGAATTTAAATTGAACGGAAATCACACATATATGCACACATATAGGTAACAGCAAATCGTCACAAGAATGAAAAATTAAATTACGGTAAGCGCACCATCTGGCCAACGACAGCACACATGTATGCATGTATGTATGTACATAATAAATACATAAGCGCCTACACATGTACATACATACATGCCTTCGCTTTATTAATATGCTGGACCGCATTCAGCTTGAGCGATGTTTGGGCTAACTGGGCGCTAATAAAACCGTTGAATCAACGAGTGCAGCTTTTTAATGAAACTTTTCGCGCCTGCTCTCATCATCCGCTCCCTGCGCTCGCTCTCTTTTTACTTGGGTTGTACCGTTAAATGCCGAAAAGCGAAAGCATCCCAAAGAGCGCAGAATCAATAGATACACGAACACTAGTCTAAAAATAAGTGTGACTGCGCTGCCAGCGGCACCAGAGCGCCCCTGAGAGAGGGAGATCGCGAGTGCGCTGACGGAGCAATGAGGGCCAGATGCTAATATCGATGCCAAAGATACTGTGGAGGAGATACGACACACACATGTGTGCACGAATATGTGCATGTGTGTGTGTGTGTGTGTATCCACATGTGTACCTTAGACTGTTATAAAAATAAGCATCTTTAGCTAAACAATTGCAGGCAAGACTGCGAAGTCTACCCGAAGTTCTAAGGCGCCAAACTTGAGTAAGATATGTAGGAGTGTATACGTATGCATATGTATGTATATGTAATGTACATATGTGCATATATATGTATTGTAGTATTATTATATATTTAAGACACAACACTACAATTTGTTTGCTCATAATTAACCAAGTGTCTGTGTGTGTGTGTGTGTGTGTGTGTG